ATACTAGTTTAAAAACTAGAACTTATAGGAACACTCTTTTTTCATGTCACCCCTCTGTATAAAGTTAGGAATGTCTTTTTAGACAGAGTCTATAACTACGGTGGTAAATAGGTAGAGATAGGTGTTAGGTTAGGTTAGGTTAGGTAGTGATTATGTAAGACCCAACCTCTACCTCTACCTAACTCTTAGTAATCTCTATCTCTATCTCTATCTAGATAAAATACTAAGAGTTAGATAGAGATAGAGATTAGGTCTTATATAATTAGTATATTTTTCTCTATTTCTTATTTTATAGATTTCTATTTTCATTATATTTATTTATTATATATTAATGAAGATAATTACTAATGTATATTAGAGCTAAAAACTAAAGTTAGTATACTTCTTTATATAATACTAGGCTAGTTCTATATTCTTCTTACTAATTATAATCTATTAAGTATAAAAATAATCTATATTTTAATCTAATAATATGAATATACTATTAAAAAAGTAAGAAAAAAATACACTTTTAAAAAAACCAACAAGAAATTATTAAGAGCGAAGAGGCTTTGGACGAGTTTATATTAGCCTATAGTATAGAAGAAGAAAGATAAGAAGAGTTAAGCTATTATATAATACTTCTCTCTTTTATATCTTACTTCTCTACCCTTTTTATCAGTAAGTTCTAGCTATGTAGTATAATATATGTATATAATATAGGTATATAATATAGGTATATAATATGGGTATATAATATAGGTATATAATATATATATATGATATAATTATATACTTTTACTTTATAGATATAGTCTATTATAATACCTATCTTCTATAATATATATAGCTATTTAGTAGTCTATATACTTACTTATAGTTTAAATAGTTAGACTACGATCTAGCTATAATATATATTTATTAGTAAACTTATAGTAAGTTAAGTGAAAATAACTTTCTATATAGTATTAGGATTAGTACTACCATATTAGTGTTACACGGGGTTAGGTGCTGATACTTCTCTAAGCTCGATCCGGGTTAGGGCGAGTGAGATGGTGTGAGGAGCTCCGTGAGAGTTTGTCTAGCGATATAGTAGAGTAGCGTACTTAGATAGAAGGTAATAAAATGTTTAATAACTACTAATCTATATTAAATAGGCTAATATATAATAATTTTATTAAGTAAAGTAACTAGTAAGAAAGTATAATTTAAGTTAACTATTATAAAAGTAATAATAAAATCTATCTATCCTTATATCCTTATTACCTCTAGTTCTACTATTCTATCTATCTTATCTTTCTATATCTTAGTAAAATATCTAGAATAGTATACTATTCTAAAACTCTCTACTATTCTATTCTTAGTAGGTTATTTAGTCTTAGTAGGATANAATAGATATTAATTAGAAACTATAATATAAGCTCTAAACTATAATAAAAATCTATAATAACTTATATAATACTACTTTAGAATCTAGTAATTTCAATATAATGACTAAAAAGTTTATATAATAATTAGTTAAAGTTATATTTAAATATATAGTTCTAGAGCTTACTTTATACTAGCTATAGTATTAGTATTTAGAGTCTAAAGCGCGCTTTTTACTTCTATAGAAACTTTTTAGAGCTATAGTCTACTATATAAGTAATAAAAATCTATAATAATTTAGTAGCTGATAAAGTTAACTTACTACTTTTAAATAAGACTAGAATTATTAAGTTTAGACTTTTCTTAATACTAATAAACTATTTTAAAGTATTAACGCTAGCTAGATACTAGTAGCCGCGCTAGTCTATATAGATAATAGAAGAAATCTAAACTTAAATATTATAATCTATTCTACTAATCTATACTATTAGTTTTTCTAAAATCGTAATATTACTATTTTTTATTTGCTATATACTACAGAGGGGTGACATGAAAAAAACGTGTTACTAAAAGTTCTAGTTTTTAAACAAGTATAACTCGACGAATATAAGAGCTATTCCTAATCGGGCAAGTTCATTAAAAAGCCAAGAAGCTATAGTTCTACCTAGATAGGATTAGTTTAAGCTTAGTTAGCACGGTTAAGGTAGTAAATAGCTTTAAAGTAGAGCTATAAAAAAACGCTAACTTTAAGTTAGATTTTCTCTTTATTAAAAGTATCTTTTTTCTTAAAATTAAGATATATAATAAAATAGACTATAAAGTTCTATAATCTAGGGTTAAAAGTTATTTAATTGAATGTAAAAAAAGATAAAGCTTATTTTAATATAAACTGTTTTTTATTAATAACTAAGTAATAATAGTTACTAATACTTAGTGTACCAGCCTTTAGCTTCTATTACCTGCCTATAACGGCTAGGTAAAGATAAAATACAGTTATCTATTACCTGTTGTGGAATAGCTTGCTACTCTTCTAAAATCGCTTATTTAAACGTTTCAACGCTCTCTTTATTAAGCCCAACACCTAAAGAACTTATTTTTCTTTTATTTAAACTATCTTTAAGTAAGCTCCAAACGTTTTCTATAGGGTTTAAATCTAGGCTATAAGGAGGGTGTAGATAAAGCTTAATTTTTTTTTAAACCAGCTTAAAACGTTGTTAGTTTTATGAATTTTGGAGTTATCTTACTGAAATTGCCAACCTATATAGCTTTTAGTATCTATTATAACTTATATTAATTAGAATATTAATAACTATTATAGTTATTTTATTAAAATTTAGTTAAGTTAAAGAAATTATTAATTAAACTTACAACGTTTAATATTTGGTGTAACTTACAGTATTAGAGCTTTTCTTATATAACGATAATTATTCCAATTAATAGTTATTTTAGGCGTTTTAATAACTACTAAATCGGATCTACCGCCTATCTAAATAGCTCCCTAAACTTAAATCGTAATATCGCGGCCTATATCTTTATTAGTAAGCTAGATATAAAAAATCTAAAATTATAGAAAAAAACT